AATGCAGGCCACTTGCCAACTGCTTTTCATCTAGATTGTAATTTGGTATGTTTCTTTTTGTAATTTTTAGTAGTTAATATCTTATTAAGATTTGTAAACTTTATTTTAGATGCTACAAGAACCTGCTGCTTTTGCTACTGCTGTACAAGGATTATTACAAGCACAGCTCCAAGCATTGGCTGTTGGATCACAAGCTGGTGGTGAACATCTTTGTTTCTTGGGAAGTGGCAGACAAGAAGAAGATCGTTATACACATATGGTAGTTGCATCTTTTTTACAGAAACATACCCAGTATGTTAGTATGGTTACATCAGGATATCAAGGTAGTTATATCTTATTTTAGACTAAAAATTTGATATAAAAAATTACTTTATTTTATAAGATCATTTCATTGTAGCCATACATGAATACTTTGGTGATGAAGTTGTTTCTAGTCTCGTTGATCACAATTCACAACATTGTTTAGTATGCAGTGCTAATATTTCGGAGACAAATTCTAATGAAACAAGTCCTGCTAAGGTTAAAAATATTAATTCTGATTTCTTTGGAAAAATTAAAAAAGTAAAAGGAAAGTTATTCGATTATATCGTTAATCCATCAGCAAGTGTTCATAATAACATGGAAAATAGAAATGGCAAAGACTTAGACTTCGTTAAACGACAAAAAAAGACGGCTCCAGTATTCAGTATAGACGATGATCAAGAATTGGGTATGTTTTCGTTTAAATATAGATATCCCTCAATAATTCAATAGTTAAGTGATTCTATATTATCTAAAATCATGTTATCCAATTATTTCCAGATATTGTGTTATTTAAGAAATGTATTTATATTTAACAAGTTTTGCAAACAAGTAAATATTTGTTTGTTATTATATACAACAATTTATATGTTTCAGATATGACAATAACAAATAACGAAAGTGAGGAACCTATTGAAGTTGTATCCATCCAACAATGGATGAAAGATCCAAAATTATTACATTCCTTTAAATGTCAAGAAGTGAAAGTTAATGGAGATCTCTGTGATAGGTGAATAGTTTAATTGAATATTAATTTTATTTTATTGTTTAACATAATTAATTATTAGATAACATTATATATGTATGCTTTTCAGTATACTTTTGGTTACTGACACACATCTTATAGTACTTCGGGAAATACAAGAAAGGAAAGGTGCGGCACATGTAATTGTAAAACGTCTGTTAACAAGTATCGTTAAGATCACATCTAGGAAAAGACACTCAGATTTGATTACGTTTAAATACGGTACAACACAATATAACGATACAGTTATTTCAGACATGGATAAGTTTCTTATTCCTAACGCCAGCGAGGCTACTAAATTGATCACACAACAAATCGTAGAACAATTGAAACCATCAAATTAATATCGAAGATTTATAATACCGTGTATAATGATACACATGTGATCAAATTTTATTTATTTTAAACAAATTTTATTTATTTTAGACAAATTTTGTCAAATAAATATCAGAATTAAAATTCTTTATTTGTTTGATTGGTCATAATATTTTTAACTAAGATGTACTATAAATGCAATGTGTTATATTAGTTTAATAAAAAGAAAAGAAACGACAGCAATAAGAAAAAAATTCAAAAAAAAAAATAGTCTGAAAGAGTTTGAAAATAACCTAAGTGTTTCATACATGAAACTAACATGATGTATCATTAATAAAATGGCCAACACAATTTGTACTTGAATTTTAAGATTTTGGTGATTTTTCTAAGTCGTTACTTTTATCAACTATATTTATACTTATAGTCTGTCTTCGTGCACTTTCTCAATGTTTTCAAAAATATTTCACTTTTATGAAATAGCATTTTTTGCATTTCTTTATCTAATAAGACGTCAATATTAATAACATTATAATAAAAATGAATAAAAGAAGTAATGGATTTCACAAATCATTATTTATAATGAAGTATAATGTGCCATGAATTAAGGTATCACGAATATCTTTATATTCGTAATGTCATACCGATAACATACTTGTGAATATCAAATGATTTATTTCTTTTTTTGATAAGATACTCAAAACTTGGAATCACACGATAATATGGCATTTCACACATATGATATTATATAGTATGGGTATGTCATAATGAACTGATAATTGGTCCTAACATAATATGATTCGAGATATATTAAGAGAACGGTTATAATATTTGCATTTTATAGTATATAGACTTGCACTAAATGTTTACAAAATATTTACAAAAGGTACAAAATATATTGAAAAATAACCAGTTATATCACTTTTACAGGCATACTTGTTACACTGCCTGATTATATTTCGAAGAATTTTTGAAGTTTACGATTTACGATCTTTCGAAAATATATATGTAATTCATACAAAAATCTTTCATAACGAAGTATTCTTATCCTTTTTCTGGTATTTATATTTAAAAGATTATGTGATATGATTCTTTCCCAATTTATCATTAAAACTATACTATACTGGTAATATTAAAAATAATTATCTTCTTGATCAGTTTTCGTGCATATTGCTGCACGGTCTTTTTATAATGCGGGATAATAATGTTTACAGCAATTAAATTATGTATAACTTAGACGTTTCAGTATGTTTATAATTTAATTATGCTAGAGTAATGTGATTATTTATAACGTATATCAGCATCTATTCTATGTTTAAAAATTACAAAAATTTAATCTAATATATATTTAAAAATCCTATTGGAATTTTCAATCTTGTAGATACTATCAGTATTGTTAATATTTGTAATAATAGTGATCTGTAATATATTTCATAATACATATAATGGATTCTATGTATGATAAAAATTTTTTCTATATATGTGCTTCCATGATGAATGAAAAGCGTAAATAACAGAATAGTTGTTATCTAAAGAATTATAGAATTTAATAAATTATAGCATATTGTAAAGCACTTAAATACAAATTTCCTGTTTTATGTAAATAACTTATGTAATACATCAAAAATGAGTTTAAAAATTGTGTATTTTCAAAAGATTGTAAAAATAAAAATGTAGTTATATCTATTCTTATGTATCATAAAAAAATGATTTTCATTATATTTTAAGTATTTTGATTTGTTTTATTATTGTTATTAAACTTCTTTTATACTTTACAAATTTATATAAAGAGTGAATTAATGATCTCTGAAAATGCCACAAATATGTTTCATTTAATATTTAAATTTATTATGGTGTAATATATTGCTTTCATCAATTTTACAGTGGACACAAGATTAACATTCAAATCATATTTTTTATAATTATGTTGATATTATTTTTATGTTAATTTTTTATATAAGAGTATTACGTAGACTTAAAATAACGAACAATAAAATATTTCAAGAAAATTTTGAATTAAATAAAATATATTATTTTACATTAACACTTTATAGCAAACAAAATGCGATATATCTACATATGTTTGATAAGGTAAACGTGTCGTGATTTGCATTATCGATTCATATTAGACTTTTTGCAGGGTGATTTTATGAATGCTTTTAACATAATATGTATTACATAAAATAGTATACAATGGTAACTATTAATTGGGGGGAATTATTTCCAGGAAGATGGAGTCCTGTCATTTTTATTTTATATATGGTTCTTTTTGTGAATCAAGGTATATAAGTGTGGTTAAGTAACTTTGTTGTTTCTTTCTCACACAATTTCTTTATTTGTTAAACGAAAGTATCTGTTATATAAAAGTAGTACAGAATAATAAATGGTGATGATAATAATACAAAAAAAATTAACATGAAATTATATACATATAATTATCACTAATAAGATGTGTATTATTTTACCGGTTTTAAATGTGTGTATTGTGTACAATTTTACGGGTATGATTACTGAATTTTGATTAAAAGTTCTATTTTTATTTCATTTTTGACACTGTTCTTGAATATGCTTTTCATATTTTGAAATTATATAACGTATTTTTAATATATAAACTAATAAAATACAAACTAATATATAAACTAATCAAAAAATAATTGTTATCACAGGTATTATTGTAACTTGGTCTCAAAGAAATGGTCATTATGAATACAATATTATTATCGTGGTGTTGATGACAGAAATATTAAAATTATTTGCTTCAATAATATTATATTGTAAAGAGTAAGTAAAAGAACTAAATTTTATTTTTTGATGTTTGAGAAAATGTTTGAAAATTTTATTATTTAATTTTTAGCAATACCTTTACAAGTCTGTGCCAAGAAATAACAGAAAATAAAAAAGGTAAATGTATATTTTTTGCGTAATTAAAATTTAAAAAACTGAGTTAATTGAAAAAAATGTTTATATTTACATTTAGTTTATAAATGGTTTTTAATTAACAAATTATATATAGTTAATTTTTTATTTTTATTTGTGTGTGAATTTAACACTTTATCAAAATAACAATGTATAAATTTAGTTAATTATTCAGTTAATATTAATTTAGTTAATTTAAATTAAATTAATAATGTATAATTTATTCTTGGTATATGAAAAACATTAGTTTTGTATATTTGCTTAGTTTTGTAGGCCAAAGTATAGTTAATATTTAATAATTTTGTTAAAGAAATCTAATGAAGATAATTGTATGCCTTTGCATGTTTATTAAAATATTTTTTACCCCTAAAAAATTGTAATCGAAGAAAAATTAATTTTTAGAAAAGTAAAAAGACATTTTAATCTTATCATAATATGATAAACGTATTTGAAAAAAGTATAAAAAATAAATAAGTTTTTTTATCTATAAGAAGCTCATATGATATAAATTAAGTTTATTAACGTTTTCTTTTTATTCTTGAAAATAATAATATTTAGAAAAAGATTGTTTTTTAAAATGCTTTTATTAGGGTATGTTTATTATTTCACTTTGATGTACAAGACAATTTTTTTAACTACAGTGAAAGCATGTTATTGTTACTTAGCCCAACTTTTCTTTATGTGCATACAATATACATAAAAAAGCTAAAAAATATATTTTTTTAGCTTAAGCCAAGTATTCTTATGAAATTTATAAAATTGGTGTTATCAATATCAATTTTCTCATTCTAGTGTTGCTACTGTACATAATACCATCATTTCTGTATTGTTTATACAATAATCTGGCATTTATCAATTTAGCTGCATTTGATCCAACAACTTATTATGTTTTATTACAACTTCGTGTTGTTATGACAGGAATTATTTTTCAGGTATATATCAGAGACTTTTTTAATAGTATACACTGGAACAAGACAGAATATTTTCTGAGACGTTATTTCTTTTAGGTTGTATTTAATAAAAAATTGTCATTAAAACAATGGTTTTCATTAGTATTATTAACTATTGGATGTATGGTGAAACACACAAACTTGGATTTTAATGTTAACGTATTTGATGTTAAAATTAATTTAAATAGTAATATAATTTTAGTCTTTGTACAGGTATGTGTAGTATTATCAAAGGAATCATATAGAGAATTCTAAAATTTATTTTGGCTTAAAATTTAACATTAAATTTTTGCATTCTTTTATATGCTAAAATAACTAAATTGTATATGATAATAAGTTGTACGTATTGAATATCAATTTTTATTATTTTTTTTTAGACAATTTGCTCGTGTCTAGCTGGAGTTTATAATGAATATCTACTTAAGGAGCAAGGAGCAAACATCAATATTTTTGTACAAAATGCGTTTATGTATATTGATAGTATATTTTGGAATCTTATAGTTTTTGTATTATTCTTTATATCAGAAAATAACCCCTTTCACACTATGATGAATGCTGATTTTAGTATACTTATGCAACCAAAAATTATTATTATAATGTTGAATAACACAGCGATCGGAATTATTACGAGCTTTTTTTTGAAACATTTGAATTCGATTTTAAAAACTTTTGCTAGTGCATTAGAACTGATATTCACAGCCATTTTATGTTGGATAATATTCAGTATTCCCATTCATTTAAATACCATACTTTCTATTGTTTTGGTGAGTTATGCAGTGGTATTATATTTACAAAATCCAGTAACAGCCCGAACCAAAGAATATACAATATATCGTATACGTGAAAATGTTTAGATTCTGATATGAATCTATTATGAATTTGTTATTTATATACATCTACGTTATATTATATTGTATAATTTTGTATAAGTGTAAAGTCATAACTTTTACTTATATAAATAAATTTAATGTAATAGGTGTTAAATGAAAATAATTTTGTTACACAATACTAATCATAAGTCATTATTTTGTCATATTTTGCATAGATATTTGTAAATAGTTAATTCCAATAATTACAAATTATTTTAAATCTTAATACATTGTATTTTATATTATGTTACTTACTCGAGTCATGTTTCCATGTGATTGTTTGATTTAATTAAAAAGTCGGATCTTAATTATAAGAATTAAAAATGCACTTAATACACATTCGTAGCTGTGCAATATTATTGCATATAGCTGTGCAAATATTAAATATTACTTGTAGAAAAGATCCATAAGGATTTCATATTTAGAGTTTTATATTGTAATTTTAAAAAATACATGAATAGTTTCCTTTTTTTTTGAAGCATTGTGTACTTGTGTACATGTACATGTATTATATGTATACACATATATAATGTAGATTTGTAATTAGTTATTTCTTGACAAATAAGAATACATACTAATGTATATGTTTTTAAAATTATGCTGTTTATTACTATTTTTGTATTTAAATATGTGTATAATTTGTTTTGTGTATATATCATAAGGAAAAGTTTTATTATATATTTCCTAAAAGTAATAACTTACAATTATTTTTATATCCGATAATTTATTTAAAATTGTTTATAATCTAAGGTATTTATAATCTAAGTTTAATAGTAAAATTTACTGTAATATTTAATGTAATATTTTTACTTGTCACGGTGAATGTAATTTCAAACTGAAAGAATTCTTCGATTTATCGAAATTTTATTTGGCGGGAAAATTTGATTCCTTGAACATCAATGAATCTTGTATTATTACAATAAATGATGTAATTTACTTTTGATTTTATTTCTTTTTATTGAGATCAAGTATTCTCACAAATTCACTCATGATTTCAATATACGTATCTACATACGACTATTTTTCGAGAAGTGGGGAGAGGGTGGTCGATATTACCCGCAAACCACCTTACTTTCGGAATAGAGTAGCGGCAGTCACATGTCGGTTGCCGTCAAATGAACTTCGTATTGGATAGTTTCGATTGTCGCGCTGCTTGTCATGAAGTGTACGTTCGAAGCGAAACGAAGAACTCCATGCATGACATAGTGGATTTATGCTACAATAGTTAAGAAACTATAAAATATGTTATACCTAATAGTTTAAAAAAATTTTCGCTTCACCTGGATATAAGGGAATAAGTAAAAGGTAAGATAACTTGCATGTAATATATAATTTTGTAATATTACTATTCGTAACTTAATGATTGATAATATTTTATTTATATTTATGAAATACAGATTATGCATTGAAAATGTATTTTGTATAATTTTCTTTTACAAATTTTATTATTGTATAATTCTGATACGTAGAAAGATATATATTAATATTTAGGTAAGGAAGTTTAATTTTATTAATACAAATGTAAATACTAAAATGACATTTTAGAAATATTTCTTTATTAAATAACATACTAATATGTAGTAGCAAAAAAGAACGTTTTCTTACATATTACTGTTTATATGAATCAATTTAAGTATCTTACTCTCATTCATGTAAATATAACGATACTGATCATGCGACAATTTACGAAACGTGATTAGCGCTATTGGAAGATTACGTTAAACGAACAATAAGAGACTACATTTTTTTCTCTCTTAATTTAGTTAAAAACCTGATATATTCTAACTTAATATGTAAAATTAGATTGTATTGCATACATAAGATTGATGTGGCACTAAAATCCGGTATTCTAGTAACTAAGAGGTCAATGACATTAAATAAAGTTTCTCAACTATATTCAACGTTGCTCAATATACCATGAACAGGTTTGTCAACACCGAGCAAGTGGTCAAAAGTCAACGACGATCATTTAAGTCCATTGTTCAACGCGAACAAAAGAAAAAAGAAATTTATGCTAAAAGAAAAAAAATATTACAGTTGATATGGAATAAAGTGCTAGAAAAGTATTTATTCTTTATCGTAGCGAGTGGATAGACCCTTCTTTTGCAACACCCCAAGACGCACGCACATTTTCTTTCGATTATGCAATCGCCTTTCGTGTGTACTACTTTTATGCGGCGTTCGTGTCGCGAGATCCAATGATAAACTTCGCGACTTCTATTCTTTTTTTAAAAATATTTGCTATGAGGACCGGGCTAACGAAGCTTGTCGGCGTGATGCTTTGAAACGAAAATCACACAGCTAATTTCTTTAACTATCTATCAGAAGCATCACTTTTCAATGGTTCACAAAAACTGTGGATATGTCTAAAATATTGAACATGCTAAATTGTTTGTGGACATCTCGTAATGTTTGTACATCGTTCTTCTTTTATATAAACAACAGCGTGTATATTTAATCGTAAATATATAATATTTTTATAGCGTTTAAGAAGTTTATCATTGTAGAAATATATAGACGATCTTTTTGGAAAAGACGGTGTTAAAAAAAGGCCATTTCATTTGGAAATGAAAAATTCCTTCAGGAAATATAAGAGCATTTTCCATGGAACAAAAAATTCCTTTATCACTTTGCCGAGAAATGATGCGAAAGTTGTCAAAAATGAGTTGAAATATGTGAAAATGTCAAAGTTAACATTTTTATTAATATTATACTATTAAAAAAATTTTGTATGTAGAATAGGAAAATAATTTGAAATGTTTCTAGGGACACAAGATTTTTCCTTTCCTTATAGATCATTTTATCATAATTGATTGGAATAGTCATATTTAAAGAAAATAATTTTCAAAGAAGACATGTCATTTTACTTGCGACAAAAATTTTGTATTAAAATATTATTTCAAATTAAATTTTTAGTAAGGATTCGTATGTTTCTAATAGATTTTCATTTTTCTTGCTGAGGGGAAGATAAACGTCTTAGCGTACATTAAAGGAATCTAAATTAATAATGAAGTAGATTTCGTGACTACGTTGATTAATCCTGTAACAGAAGCCGGAAGTGGGATGCGTTTGTGGTTAAGTGGTTAAAACGTTACCAATGTCAATCATTTGATACATTTGTATATATGTATGTATCTGCTGCCGGAAGTAAAGGAAATATTGTTGATTAACTGTTCCGTAAGTCAAGAACTACCGTTAGGAGCGCTGGAATATTGATTCACATTAAGTAAATATTCGTAGCTAAGAAAATGATTGAGAATAAGTAGATAAAATATATTTAAGCAGAGAGTATTACGTTTAAAAATATAGACAGAAGTCTATATTTAGACTTATATATATTTATTATTTATATAACTTAAATTTTAAATAAAAATTATTCTTCTATTGCAATATCCAAAGTTACTAGAGTTATTATAGCACGATTGATCTCTTATTCCATCGATTCACTATAAAACTGTTAAATTCTTGTGATTTTGTGCAGTAATTTTCACAATTGTTTCTGTAATTGTTATCAATATTTCTGCTAAATATGAAGTTAATTGTAACTGAAAATCTTTTATAATTAATCGATATATTCGCTTAAGAAATTAAAAAAATTAAAGAAAAAAGAAAAATACAGACGGATATATTTTGTTGAACAAGAAACATCTCCATTATTTTCTATCTATTTTACAGTTTATCTATTTACAAATTTCAACTGTTTTTTATATGATAATTTAGTATTTAATTTAGTATAAAAAAAATGTTTTAAAATTATGTAGCTTAGATAATTGTTAGTATAATGTAAAACGAAAAAGTGACAAAAATTCAGTAGTTTTTCATATGGAAATCAACGAACATTTTTATATTATATAATTTTGATAAGTCATTTTACATTAAAAAGGCTGTATAAATCTATTTCCATTTGTTATAATATTACGGCTCTAAAAGTATTATTGAGTTACAAGTGCTTTAACAATGTTGTGCATTTCATAGGAAGCGAGAATATAGTTTTCAGTAATGCACCTGTTATAGTTCTATAATTCACTTACATGTTTCATAGAAAATTAAGAAACTGCTATCGTGGTAGGAAATATATATGATGTACTAGTTGTTGAACAATTTCATAGGAATGTAACTAATATTTGAGAAGGATAATTCAATGTTAAAGAAGAATATAAAATAAAAGTATAGTGAATTCCAGTCAAATAAATTTGATCGAATAATATTTTAATTATTGATATACCTATATATTCAATAATATACATATATCAATGTTAGGAACTATAGTTTATTTTATTGTGCAAAGTACAAAAATCGTTGCTCCTTGGTGAAATCTTTATAACAAGTTAAATTACAATTAGTAAATAATTCGCTTACCAAAATTATCGTTCATTGTTACTTAAATACCATGCTATTTTATATTGTACTCAAAGCGAGAAAATTATTCAAAACAATTAGTTTACATTGCTTCAGTGTGTATATGTATAAGTAAAATGTTTGTGCTATAAACATCCGACGTATAAGGTAGATCGTGAAGTAAAAACTATTCGTATAATTTTATCCATTTTATACTCGTTAATAGTACATTTTTTTATTTGTTAATGAACACAATTTACTTGACAAGTTGTAAACTAAAAATTATACGATTCCATTAAAGAAATCGTAAAGTGCATTATCTTCACGTGACCTCCACATGCCTATCTATATGCAAAGTAATTACACCATTTTATATTCTCTCGAAATCATTCATTTTTTTCAGAACCATTTCTTTTTTCTTTTTTACTTGATATAACGATTAATTTACAAATGATTCATACTTATCGATTAAAATTAGACACACCGTAGATCTCTGGGTACGTCGAAAGTTATAGGTGTACCAGTGTTACAGCGTTACTTACTCCACAGTAAATATCTAACGAATCTGCCAATCAGGTCTTCAGTTTGCGTGACTCGATGAACGATCCGGAAGCAAAAAAGCGATTCTCGTGGAAGACGATGAAGGATCCATGGTTCCCGCCAGACGAGACGTAGCGGTGGTATGTTTGAGTGCTTGGAGTACACTTCATCTATGACAGGATCGATGAATTCGGGGCCCCTGCAGCCCCAGAAGGATTCTTCGCCACTTCCGGCACGATCCTCTCCCTACGATCTCTATTCGACCCCAGAAAGCCCGTTACGGCGAAGTCACCGTCAACGACTCTCTCGAAAGATGACATTGACCTCGTCTAATGGCCAACCTATACAGCTTACTCCACTCTGGGAACACGTGGTTGGTACAGTTATGCTGTCTCTGATTAATGGAGACATGTCTATTTTGTGGATTAGCGATTAGCTATAGTTGTTCGAACGATATGGCGTGTTTGCAAGTTATTGTGCAGGATGATTCGTTCGTTAATGGACTCAGAGACAGTACTGCCTATTCAGAAAACCTCCACACTTGAAACTTTATACATATATACGAACGCAAATGTGGTCGCTATATACATGCGTGAGATTATCGTGTAAGGACACTGGATCCCTGCTGTGACGTTTAGTGGTATTTGAGTGACGATACTATCTTTGAGTCCACTAGCGAACGAATCACTTTGTACACTTCCTCACCTTTATGAACAGTCGTGTAAAAAGATTGTTAATATCGAAGGATAAATTTTAATCCTGTCGTTATTTCTTTAGAAAAAATGGAAGGTTACTATTATACGATAAAAATTGTATAATTAATATTTGAATTAGCAAGCATTTATTTAATTTATTATGTTTTTGTAATCACGATCCTAGTGCGAAGTTTTATATCTATACTTTATATCTTGTATTTTGGTATAGGTACGTACTCGAAAATTTCCAAGCGAGATAGACACTCGTTTAACGTTTTTGGAGATATCCGAGAGACTGCGTGATCCAGAATGGGAGGTCCGTCAGCACGCTCTTCGTGTGCTTATAGACGTGTTACCGACTTTGAATGCTGACATCGTGGACAAGGTCATGCAACCAGTGGTACCAGAGCTGGTCAATAATTTGGGCCACCCTGCGCCTGCCGTACGCAAGGGTGCTCTGGATGCCTTCCGAGCTTTTCTTATTCATAGTTATGATAGGGAAAACACTATTAAAAATGTAGGAATTTTATTCAATATATGCCACTTCTTTCTTACTTTGTAATTGTTAAACCTTTATTTGTTTTAAAACGAAGTAAAATGAATTATAATGATTTAATATTTGCTCTGAAAAAAGATATATGAAAAAAATGCATATGAAATCAACGTAAATTTCTCATACTTTGATTACTCTTTGTTTAGTGAAAAAAATATCTTCCTATCAAACAGAGTATTTTGGACAATTTTGATGAATGCATTAAAGAACACGAAGGCATAAGACAATTTAATAGCTATGTAATTACCCTTTTCTAACATCACATCAGCTTTCAAAGTTCTTGATGAGCAGCCAGACAACTCCGTGATGCGCAAGCAATCTTTGACCTTGCAATCTCCCCACTATCTTATATTATCGTGGATCGATATCTAAACACAGTTGCATCGAGTGTTTTCTTGCAGATTCTTCAGGATGGCCTAAATCGTTCAGAAGTACGCGACTCCTTCCAGACCAACGTGACTACTGGCGTGATCTTAAGCGTTCCATCTCTCCTCTTCCCATCATCCAGCAGTCCATTGCCTAATCCCCAACTTGTCAAGGATGCGACGATAGCCTTAGCCTCCCGGTTAGCTCAAGTACCACATCAAGAAGCTGTGTTGAAGTCGTTAATGAAGATCCGGGACGCAATAGGCGTGGAAGAATTCGAGGGATACCTGGAAGACTACGACAATAAGTTGAAGAGGAACATTGAAATTCTGTCTAAAATTTACAATGTAAAGTCTAGCAAGAAGACACCCCAGAAGGTTATAGATACTAAAAACGTGGATAAGTTGGAAAGTAAAGATTTGGAAGGTAAATGGGAAAGCGACAGCGACACTTCAGGTATCGTTGAAGAGGAAGACGAAATTAGTAATGCGACCATGCCGGCGGCCAGAGTTGTATTAGAAACGGAAATTAAGTTCAACGAGGAAACAGCCATCACTATGACAATTCTCGAAGAAAAGGAGGATAGCGAGGAAGAACGGGATGAAGAAGAAGAAGAAGCAGATGTAAAGAACGAGGTTGAAGGGAAAGAAGATCTTGATAAGAGGAAGACGCCTAGAAGGGTCCATTTTGGAGGAGAAATAGTTAAATTGAGGACTCCGGACAGTGATGACACCGAGTCTGTGGAAGTTACTCCTAAAACTAGAATACCACTTCCTGTGTCACCTGTTACTAAGATGCCTAACACTCGACCAAGACCATCTTCTCAGCCCTGTAGTCCTCACAGAGATTCTGGTAAGCCTAGAATAATGTCTAGGTCTGTTTCCAGTAGCCCTAAAAGAGAAGTGTATACGCACAATGCAGAACTGAGTCCTAAAAAGAGTATTCTTACTAGAACTAGTAGTCCATTGTTCACTAGTAAGACTGCTGAGCTGTCGAAGAAGAGGAAGAATATGAGTAGACAGGAGGAAAAAGATACCAAACATAATACCGAGTCCAGTGCAACTGATAAGAGCGTGAAGATTATTGAAATTATTGAAAAAGTGGAGGAAGATAGAAAGGAAGATGTTGGATTGGTTCAGAGTACTCAGAATATTGATGCTTTAGGTTTAAATGCGAAAGTTGGTAATTATGAAAATTTAGAAGACAATAATTCGTTGAAGAATAGGAAACAAGAAGATCTTTTGATAATGGAACCAGTAGTATCTAAAAGTGGTCCAAAACTAGAATCTGATAATTTTGAAATTCAAAATAAGAAAACTGTACAAGAAATTAGGGATAAAAAGGGGAATTCAGAAAATAAAGCGTCAGAGAATGTCCAAAAGAAAATCATAGCAGAAAAAATTCAAACTTCAGAGGATGGTCATGAAATTGATTCTCTGTTTGGTTCCGTGGTGAAAAGTAACGAAATAGAATACAATCGTGTGAGGATAAATCAAGCTGGAGTTAAGGTAAATGGGAACGAAACAGTGCAGAAAGATTCTATAAAGTTAAAAGGTGGTGTAATAAGTAGTTCGAGCAACAATAATGGTGACCATGATTCCTTAAAAAATATCGACTGTGAACGAACGTCGAGGAGTGACCACGATAAAGGAGGTGCTAGTGTAATTGAAAAAAATGGAAATATTACTTATGGAAACAATGAGATGGAATCTATATCTGGGGAACCAAGCTGGGAGGAACTAGGATTGGTTGGCCAGGAAGTGTTGGAAGACCTGCATAACAAAGTAAGTCAAAGAAAATTAATGTTTATTGAAATAAATTTAAACGATTGTCTTTTAAAGGCATAGCGATTTGTTTTCCATTTAATGTAGAGAAGTATACTCACCCAAAATTTGGAAAAATGCTTTAAATTTTAGAGTTAATAGAAACGATATTCTTAGATCTAATTTTCTTACATTTATAATGTATTATTCTAGAACTAAAATTCACGTAAATTATGTTATTGCATAGAAATGAATAATTTCGAAATTACTTTTAACAAATTGCTTAAAGACTTTGAAACAATGTTTTAGGTTTTTTAATGTCTTTTATTATACATTTTTAAATGATTTAATTCTCTCAATAGTTATTAGTGATTTTCACTATGATAGTTGTTAGTATTAATAACAATATTTAACAATTTTTTTACATTTTTTAATATATTGTTTACTATTTCACTTTTTTTTTATTTTCTTCTATTTATTTTTTACGGTCCTTTTTATGATCTTTGCACTTCTTTCTTAAACATTTTATTCCTGTTAAAGAATATTTCCTACTATTACTTTTATTACACGCTCACCAACATACACCAACGTAATAATTTTAATTATTTTCATCACGAATACTCGTCCCCTCATTTACTCAGAAATTTAACCTTAATCGGACAAATTATTTCCATCACGAATCAGGTCTCTAGGTACGTACGTATTGCATTACAGTTGAATTCTTTTGATTCTAGTCAAATTAAATTCCTGTTATTTGTATCGAAAAGAAAAGTAAATTTCTTTAAGGACGAAGTTTTATAAAACATAGTCACTATGAGAAGAAGATAATTATTTCTTATTTTCCTGAAGGGAATAACGTATACAATTATTTATAAAAATTGTTAATGTGAAATTTAATAGCAAGAATACATGTTTCTGAAATTTGTCTTATAGAGTAAAATTTTATTACATTTTACATATAACAACAAAATTTATTATATGTAATATTACAATAAATTTTTACATTGAGATATGGTTTTTTCTGTTTATTTATTTGTTTTTAATTTCTTAGTAGAAAAATATTTTCCTGGACTTTTCATTTAATAATGACACTATTGAACTATTGAAGCCCGCGTAATTTGAAAATTCCATACGTGTACGTCTAGTTTTATAACAGTGACAAATTGGCGTGCTTTTTTTCGATTTCATTTTTAAATTGTCTTTTTATTCATTGCTCATTAAAACATAAATATCATGTACAGGGTGTTTCCAAAATCGTGGCACAACCGGAAAGGAGGTGATTCCTCAAGTAAAAGTAAGTCGAAAATATAGAATAAAATTTTATTATATGGGGCTCCAATTCTGAGAAAATCGAGTTTTAATATACGTTAAGTACGCATGCACTTAACCACAATTTTGCTTGTTAGTTCACACCCAATCTGGCTAGCCACAGCTACTTCTCTTTATGTTCAGAAACAATGTTAGTTAATTTCTAGTATAACCTAAAATAAAGCGATGAATTTTAATAATTTATATACCATAATAAGTTAATAAATGTAAAAAGTCGACATTGCTGCAAACAAATTATTACTCAGCGGATTAATACTTCCTTTCTGACTGTACCACAATTTCGGAAATATCCTGTATATTATATCATTACTCATACTCGTACGTATATATTTTTCTATTCATTTTGTAAATGTACGTTCAATTTTATTATTAATTATGCCTATATAAGGTTAAGGTTAGCTATTTGTGAAAGGATTTCTTACACTCAAGAATACTTATTTCCAATAATGCTATTTTACCTTTTAGGATCATGCTTAAGTTAAAGTAAAACTAAACTATATATAGGTACACGTAATGTGAAAGTGTATCCTTTAAGAGGTTAAGTCAATCAATGTTCAACGGAAAGGCACTCGACGTTGGTTACTCATTTACATAGCTGGCTTTTAAGTTAAACAATGATCGACGTTAATCAAGTTCGTTCTAAATTTTTTATCGATCGATGAATCAGACATACATTGCACGCGAAAGTCACTCAGAGATTCAGGAATAAAAGTGAAGAGGAAAATAATGAAGAATCGAAGAATCGATATACGCATAGGTAATTCTAATTGATGGCGTTTAAATCACGTTACACCACGCGACGAACTTTTGCCGAGGAAATCGATTGACCTACTTTAGTGTAATGTATCAGAACGATCTGTCCTAAAGTCAAATGTTCCCCCTTTCGTCGAATTAATGAGTGGTCAGGAACAAAAAGTGATGTTCGATAACGACTTATCGTAAAGGGAAAATCCCAGGTATAACGCTCGGTTTAACCCGTTAACTGGGTTATCTATGAATCAGAAACAGTGGTGAACAAAAATTGTTCCGAGTAACAATATTTTTTTTTACATTTTGTAAGAGATTCATTCAGCTACGTATTACAAGATCGTATAACTTGATTTTCAGCTTTCAGAGTGGACATATTTATACGATATTTGTACGATTTATTCATAAAAATATGGGATATTGCTCTTCTGTATGACTATGCTATTAGAAATTTTAATCACTGATATGAGACATTCTTGTAAAGGTTAGAAAATAATAGCAAACATAGAGCAACAATTTAAAACATGAACTGAGTCTGTTTGAAGCAGTAAGAATAACAATGAGATTAGTTTGAGGTTGTATAAGATTGAATAATCTATCTTTGTAAATAATAAAAAAAAAGGTTAAGGTACTGTAGAAATATAAACAAATTTTATCATAAATATGAAAAAATCAAAAAACATTGTAAAAGTAATGAACAAACAAAAAATACCATAAATATTAAGATGTTATATGGTGTTTCTCAGTTCTTTATTTGCTCACGTGTTACGCACCATAGATATTTCCTTGTTGTTTACTATGTGACAAACAGAATCGATCAAAACGAGAATGAGTGAGACAATGTATTAGCAGTGCTCTTGATCTAACATGCAACTAACGAATAAATTCGACGAATCATCACCCCAAAAAAGAAAAAATATGGGTCAATTTTAATCCTATATCTTCCCTAAACAATTAACGAAGATATTTTTTATTATTTTGCTAAAAAACGCTGTTAGTTAACAGTGAGATTATATCATGATTCTATAAAAAAGTGCCTCTCCTCTACTTATCTTAGTTTTTCTTCTAATTGCTATAGTTTAACATATTCGCATGTAAAGAGTTATTTTGAAGATAAAAGTTAATAATAAGTTTGTAGTTAAATTTTAAACCTCGTAATTAAATAAATTAAAATTAAAGATCATCAGTGTGAAATATTTATGAAGTTTTATCAAATTTTAAGAGGGTGTTGCGTATTGGTAATAATCATCTGGTGAATAATTAAAAAGTTCAAAGTCTAACTTGAATTTTTCATACAGTTTTTCTACCATATCTCTGTTTAACTGCCTGAAGTATATTTTTGATGCATTTGAATAACTACCACTGTGCCGCCATTTTGGTTTAATTACATCTTGGAGACGTAATTTATGGATCGCGTAAATCTGGTCCCTCCATAATGTTTCTACCTGTGGAACATAACAAATGTGATTAGATATAAAAAGAACAAGAGCAGTACAATAATAAAATATAATTTACTATTTATTTAATAGCAAATTCTTCAAATTCAAACTGACAACTGAAATAATAGTTTTACAATTACCTTTGCAATTATGTCGTAATCCACAATACAAGGTGTGCAGAATAAATAGTACGGCATCCAATGATCATCTCCGTAGTTTGCTAAATCGGTGTGTATCAAGTATTGCACGAACTCTTGGAAAAGAATGAAAGTGACAAACTTCGTCATTAACCCAGTGCTTGAGCAACGAATATATCGCGGTCGATAGCTTGTCGTGACTCACCACGGTACTTTTCAACAATCTTGCTACCGTATTTCCGATAAAAGTGAAGGGTCCCGTGTTCCCTTCCAGCTATAGAGTTTTCCAGCTTATCACGATACGCGCTTAGTAATCTCTCAAATGGGTGCCTTACCACCAGCAGTTTCTTCGTCGCCCTTAATGCCTGCATATGTTCTTGGTTTGAGTCTTTTCACAGTAATATTGATGTTGGGATAAATCGAAGGTTTTGAAGTGTTCTAATGAGTAACTATGAAGATTTTATGAGAACTTAATGTAAAGAAAGTGAGATAAGAGGATTTGTAAAGTGTCTTCTATGGAGGAACCAAAGGAATAAACTTCAATTAGTATCGTTGGGCCCATAGGTGATCACAACGGTTCATAGATTACAATATTATTAATAGTATTGATATTATTATTATTCTTAATACTATTAATACGGTAGTATCATTAATATCTAATATAATGAACGCATGTTGCAACAATATTATTTAGAAGTTAACTGAAAAAGTTCTCTGTGAACCAGTTTTTATATTTAACATGTGCCTTTAGTTTTACTTAATAGTGCATATAGAGGCTATCATTTATCTCATTCGTTACATTCCCGTTACTTTTAACGGAAAAGATAGTGAAAAGGAAGGGAACGATTTAGGTATTATTAGCTTCAAAGGTCAATGCTAATTACGAGTATTATATTATGGGGCTATATGTAATATCTATGATTTATATTCCTTTTTATAAATTATATTTTATCGCTTGTTTTTCGAGAATCACGCGGTATAGTATTAGTTGAAGTTTAACAGTATTAGGTATAGGTGTAGATACAAATACAAAGATCTAACGACGGATGCAGTTTTACCTCGTCTGCTTCAGGAAACTCGAGTTCCGGTATCGCCCTTCTGGCGATGGTCGATATCTGCTCCTTTCCACTATTCAGCTCCTCCTCGGCTACGTTCATTAGGAGACATAAATTGTAAATCCACGTTGTACTCCCGGCTTTGTAAATTGGACAGTATGATAGATCGCGTGATCTGCGTGGCAAATAATGTAGACAATTAACGTTGGTAATTGAATCGATTATTGTTGAAATAATCACAGTGAAAAACTGGATTCAAGAACTGTTTTCTCCAATACACTAGTAATACATAAAACAATTAAGAGATTATGTTTCTATGTATTCCTTGAAAATTGAACACCAATTACAATTTTAATACGTGTAATAGTTAAATTATATTGGTAAATAAGACAACTAGGGAAATATATTTTTATATATCGTGCTAAATATAATTTGTTTAACAGATTAGAAAGCTAATTTTTTAAATATGAAAGGAATACTTTATAATTTCATATATGTATTGTTATTATTTTGTTTTTAAGTATTTATTTTGATTGTTACTTTAAGATTTCTTAAAAATAAAAATGCACTAAAATAATAGTTATATAAATTATGTATTGTTTTATGTTTATAATTAGACGGACATTTGTTTGCGCGTTGTTACATATACATTATGATAAGTGTAATGACTTACTGTTGTAATTACCAATTATGCAAATTGACTTGAATAATTCATTTAACCAACCTGACAATATAGAAAACGCTATACTGTGGTGCTGGAGGATGTTTAAATGCAGAAGGTTTATCAGGTTGCTTGTATATGCCTAAATTATATTTTTCACATGTGTATTTTAAAGTTACTAGTCGCTTTGAATTTTTGTTTTCTGCTTCAATCTAAAATTCAAAATTTTGCTATTGTTTAACTTTTATATATAATTTCTTTATTATATATTTTATTAATTATGTCATTAAATTTGTTCAATTAGTGTATACACATACCATTAATTTTTTCAGGTCATTTAATTTTATTGCTTCATTTTCATTTCCAACAAGTAAGAATTTAACAACAAAAAACATTAATCCACAACCAATGATATATCTTAAAATTTGAAAAGTGATTCTTTTATGATTCCTAAACATGATGTACTTAATTTGTTAAAAAAATTACTATCGAAAGTGTAGATTTTTTAGATATGACAACAAAAAATTAAGTATTTTATTTTCTATTTAAATTTTTTATTACAAAAATTCTTTAAAAATAACATTAAAAAGTGTATGCAATTTTATCTTGAGGCATAATGAATGTTTAATTTGACATTGAAACTTGTTAAAAGAAAATTAGAAGTTATTCAGAGAAAATGATTAAACATATTATTTAACTAATTATTTAGTAAATGTACATGTAATAATACATTAAAACATAGTGAATTTAAAATAAAAATGGTTTTAAAAATGTACTCAAAATATATTTTATAAATTATTTAAGAAATATATACAGTTTTACATTTGAAACGAATATTTAAGAGAAGAACGAAGTAAATATTCGTTCTTCCTTCTAGCAAGACACTGACTGACCGGTTTCGTGTTGCGTTCTGACAGTGATGGATCTAGTGTGTTCTATACCTGTAGCAAAAATCTTTCCGTTAAAGTAAAACATTTTACATTCAAATTTCTCAAGCTAATCAAATTCTATTACATGTTTTATGAAAATGTTAAAAAAAATATTTTCTTGATAATGACATAATTCGAACAGAGTTCTTGAGTCGTTAGAACAAATCTTTTTCAACAAGATATAAATCAAATGTGCTTGTAATAAGGAAAAGTTTACGTCACCATAATGAACGTTTGTTTGCATTATCAACAAGATTAAACTTATCTGGTGTTATCAAGTAAATTCGTTCCTGGAGTTAAGTTGAAGGTATTTCAGCACGGAAACTCGAAGACTCTGATGCATACTAATTCAGATAACTCCGATGTTTCGATAAATGGATAAAAATGTATTCTTGTACTAAAACATTAATTGTATAATGTTTAAAACTGTACAAAAATTTTATTGGTAAAAACTAAATTGTAAAGAGCTATTTAATTGAAATGAATTAAAAACTTTGAATGTTTTAGTTTAACTTATTTTAATTTTTTAAACTTTCTTATATTTTAATCTACTTTGCAAAATTTGTTTATTTTTTATAATAAAAAAAATCTGTATTTTAAAGTTGTAAATATAATTTGTAAATTAAAAGTACTTCAATATGTGTTTGTATGTATGTATCACATGTATATGTATATAAATATTTTTTTAAATAATAATAAATATAAATTATATATATACATTAATATTTGTGCATGTTTATAATCTTTATATAAAAATTAAAAAATTCTAATTTTATAACTTTATGATAGTATAACATTATAAATTATTTCTATGATAATATGTAATTAGATAATTTCTTAATGTCAATAATTTAGAAATATATATACCCTTACCAGAAGAAGCAGTGTAATTTTAGGTGATTATCGGTGTTGTGGAAAAATGTTAAGTTCCTTATGACCGTGAAAGTATCTTCCTTTCATTCAGCGGAAGTTCAAGGTCGCTATATGCCTTTCCATGAATGTCACTGTTCGTACCGTATAATAAGAACTAAAAATCGTTTAATATCGATCCCATATGTCGAGTAACACAAGATAAAAGAAGTAATGTTCATTTTCACACAGGAATTAATGATTTATCTGACATTTGACATAATCTATTTCTTTAAAAGAAATTACTTCTACCTTAGTTTTCCAGACGAGCATAATTTCTTGCTATATTTGTGAGAATATCGAAATGATGTAAGTTTTCTTTATTAAACAACATGCAATTTATTAGTCGAAACATGACTGGAATTTCTAAAAAAAGAAAATATTTGTTGATATTCAAAACAGAGTATTATTTTTAATTTCATTTGAGGTTAGGAAAATTCAAGTTATATATCTCATGTGATTTCCTCCAAATGCATATATAAAATATAACGAACCATACATGTATGTCATCCAGTGTTGTATTTTTTGCATTTTAAAGCACTTATTTCGTATAATACATATAGCATAACCATTGCTTTCATTCGAAAGCAGTATACATCAGCTATGATGTTTTAATTGTTCTTTATCGTCTTTCTTTTTGTGGAATTTCTCCAGCACCCTAACCTCCATAAAGAACCATAGCATATTACACGATTAGATAGATTAATCGCACTTCCAGCAGGTATTTCCCTCTGGACAATGTTCCTATCTTCATGGCAGTGAAGCACTATGTGAATTATGCATGCTGTTTCGTTTTCCTGCCGCTGGACGTCATTGAAATAGTCCTGTGTGATGGGGGTGCTAGTATGAATATTTCACGGATGAAAAACGAGAGATATTTCCTTGCGCGCATTATTATGCGCAGCGAAGGAAAACGTGACTCGTGAGTAACAAGAAAATAATTAGGAACGTTGTTGCGTGCAACTTGTCGGTCCAGTAAAGTTTCATTTCTATGTGTATGCAAATTTAGTTGTAATTTTCGAATTTTACATTGGATGACATTTTATGAGAAATTTTTAAATTCTTCATGGTATTCATATGTTACTTCGTTTCAATACAATCAAGATAAATTTTAAATTTACTATTTCACAAAAGAATACAAAGATTTCGTGTTTCAAGTTCAAGAAAAGTGCACGTTCAAGAGATAAATATTTACTTTAAAAGCTACTAATTTAGTCGAGAATAAAATAACATTCATGGTAATTGGTAAGAAAGTGGCACTTATCATGGTAATTAATTGTTCCAGCTAATCTCAGTGGATAACGTTATATCATTTCTGACTCAACATATAATATAGATTGTCAATATTTCTATATCATCCGGATTATAGCATCTCACGCGATACATAGTATTGCAGATTCCTGCAGGTTCAATGGAATTATGAAAGATCGATAATATTGATTACTTCCGTGTAAACAGAGCCGAATCGAAAAGTGAATGCAGATGTTACTAGTGCATTGCATTCAAGCTTGCTGCAACGATCGATAATGTTCACTCGACGACTGCTTATTCTTGACCAACGATATTACGTATAAATAATATTTATGATTTTGAAAATTTAATATATACACATGTACCTAACTAAGGTCTTTTTAATTCTATCTATAAATAATAGCTTATACATTGATCATATTTTGCACATACGCCTAGACGTTTTGTATCCTTTATTTTATTATATCAAACTCGTGATGTCAATCCGTCGATAAGTTAAGACAAAAATTGTCTGCACTATAGTATTTGGAGGAACACTAGATGGAGTATGCAGTACATTGTTAGAAATCTTAAGAACAATGAGTTAAACTGTATATGTTTAAGTTTATGCTAGGTTTAATTTACTTCTCCTGCATTGAAAATGTGCATTTTACATATTTCCATAAATTTTTAAACGTTGTTTAATTAGAAAGTATTACGTTTGTTAATTAATTGTGCGTAATTAACTTAATTTGTAAGTAATTTATTATTAACTTACCTAATCTATGCTTTCTGACTAAGTGATTTGTGATAGTCACAACCTCTAGATTCTTTTACTTTTAAGCTTTCCAAATATGTACCATATGCCATTGTTGGTTGTTGTTTCAAATACTACTGCCACTATGTTGCTCAAGTGCTACAAATTAAAGTAGATACAAATCTACAGTCAAGATGTCTACAAAATACATACCAAAATAAAATTAAAGCACTTTTTCATGTAACAGATGATACTTTAAGAAGAGCATTACAAATATTAAAATACATGTATGTAAATAATGTAAACGTCAAAAGATATGGTTTCTGAAGGTAAATTGGAATATTTCTATAAAATTATTTTCATTGATTTTATATTCTTTATTCATTATTGTATTATATTCCATATATTACAAAAGGACCTGTACAAGTTTATAATCGTGAAAAGATTCAACAAACACAAAAGATTATCATGAAAAAGAAAACAAAGCAAAGATAGAAAATGTAATTTAATTGAATTATATAAAATTAAAAATCATTTTAGGATGATTGGCGAGCTCGTGTCAGAGGTTTAGAGAGAGTAGCGTCTGCTTTACGAACGTCTTCTGCTCTGATCGCGATAGAACCGCGATTAGGATCTCTTTTGCATGCAGCGTTGGGCTGTGAAAGGAGCTGTCGTGTAGCTGCTGCGGGCTTGGCCGTGGCAAAGGTAACTCGCAAATCTGCTCCCTTAAATCAATCTAATTGCTTTACTCATTGTTATGTATTACTTTGTTGTTTAACATATTATTACACACTGAAGAATACCTGTTCATTTAATTGTTAATTTTATAACATGTAATTAATATATACATTTCTTTTTCCTTTATGTGGTACTATTTATATAGTATAAAATTTCTATTTTTATGAAAACTATGTTATTAAAGATAATAACGTTATAACATTACAGCTTGAAATTTTTCTCAGGTGCAGATCTAAATTGTTGACAAATTTTTAAATCGATACAACTTAAAATATCACCCGGGTCACGAGAAAATACATGTTTCACGGATTACTCGTTATTTTGTTGGCCACGTAAATGTAGGGTACAGTTTAATAATATTTTTAAAAAAGCATCACCAAATTTCACGAGATCTGTTTTAAAAATACAAAATGACGTTAGTAGAATACCAAACATTAATAGGATAAAAGAAATACAACAAACTTTCGCGACTGCTGAAAGTTGAACTGGCTTATAAATATGAAGTTTTACGTAAATTAAACTACAAAGTTCTCACATGCAAGTAACTAGATTCGCAGACATTTTTCATAAAGTATCACGTTAGGACTGAAGGATTTTAATAAAATTCCAATAAATTCCGTGCCTTATGGAGATATGTCACGAAATAAGAGCATTCTGTTGAGGTCTATATTTTTTCGACATTTTACGTTAGAAAAAATTTTTAATCACTTTCTGGTACTAGGTAGTAGTAGCTGGAGTAAGCGAGGAGGCTTTGAAGAAACGTTTACCACAGTTGGCATGGGGTTTAGCGAGACATGGTGGCCCTAGTGCGGCTCAATTAGCCAGGATTACGATGCTGAGACTTAGACCCGCTCTTCTTCTAGAACAACTTCTGCAACCGCAATGTTTAGGTGCGAGAAACGCAAAGGTAATTTTTTCAGGCAATTTTTAATCTAATTTTTATCAAAATTTAGTTGGATTTTTTCGAGTTATTACCATTTTTTTCTTTTTCTTCTTCTTATTATATTAGTAATAAACTACAAAGAAAGAAGTATTAAAGAAAATACATTATAAATTTGTTTAAATATCAGATTTCAGTATTTATGAATTTTCTAAATATTTAGATAATATAATAATGATAATATAAAGTTTCTAAAATCTAATTACTTTCAATTAATTTGAATAAAAAATTTTGTATTCATTTGTAATATTACAGACCAGGGAAAATACTTTACAGTTGTTAATTTTCTCGCTGGTAACGTTTCCAAGTACAGAATTCAAAGTGGAAACTGTGGCTAACAAAGTGGTTAAAATGTTGAGAGATAAACGACGCAGGGTACGACAAGCAGCGCTTGATACTTTGGCTGTATTAGCTCAGATCTATGAATCTCAGGTATTTTCTTACCTCTATAAGAAAATTGTATAATAGATTGTGATAGATTATGATAAATGAATCATGGGTGTGGATATACATATTTAGTAAGAATTCCACAACTTTTAAACAATAAAAAATATTCTTATTATTATGGAATTAATATATGATTATTAACTATATATTTAGGAAGTATTAGCAGCAGGAAAACGCGCGTCAGAAGATCATCTTGATGGAGAAGCGATGATGTCTGCCATCAGAGCTCGTCTCTCACGAAAGTCTTTGCCTTTGGTCTCCGCAGATGGTCTTGTGATGTACGGTTTGCAAATCTCACCTACTGTGCAAATAGCTAGAGGTAATTTATGATTATTTATCATTACTTTTAACTCATCTTATTTCTTCATTGTTTGGTTCCTAAAAATTATTCCTTTTTCCATACGATTAGTAGCTGAGATTGGTACCTATTCTTTATTATTACATAATAATTTTGCCAAATTATAAATGATTAATTTTGTTATTAGTAGAAATTATGCAAAATCATTTCATTTATGTACATTGGATGTTACATACAATATTTAATCACATTTACGTAGGTCCTGATGTCGATTGGATCGTGGCCGGAAGTGGTTCAATTTCTCCCGGCATCGGACGTAACAAAAGCCAAGTCATAGCAACGAGATCAGAAAAGGAAAAAGTTGCAAGGTAATTTCCTCAATCAAATGAATATAAAATTAATATCCTTTATGTTTCATTTATGGTTTTCGTAAAAAGTTTGTTCGCATTTAATTTTTTAGAATACTTATGTATCATAATGGATATTAGTCCTTTTCTAATAATATTGAAAATCATTAAATATTACTTAACTAATGAAAAATTTTACACTTTTCAGAAATGAAAATGCAAATTGTCGAGAAAATCTATGGGGCGAAAGACCAAATTTCGTTGCACTTGGCGTTGGTATGCGTTCCAAATCCGAACAACCGATAGTATGGCAAATAGTTCCAACACAAAATGAGGTAAGACTTTAACATAAATAGTAACTAATTTTGTAGTAAATGATTATAAGAAATTTATAATTATATTAATTTTATTTATATAAATAGGATATACTTTTTTATGAAAAAAAATTAAATTATTCTAATTAGCTTAGTCATGTTTATTATATGCATATGTAAGAATTGTATCGAGTGCAATTATTAACAAATTACAATAAGCTTATTAATAAAACATAAACCTAAAATTGCTTTATGCTCATGCTGACATTTATTCGCGTGTTCGGAAGTTAACTCCGTTTGCAAAATATAATCACATTAAATCAGCAGCGATAAGTTGCAAATCATGACTTTACTTTGGAATTGCACTTGCACGAATTTAAATTGTGGTGTATAAATAATATATCCTTTTACCATTTTATACCTTTTACCTTTGCATTAAATGACCTACTAGCAAATAAACGAAATATTTTTGTTACACGTCTATACATAAACCATAATTTGCAATATTTATATTACCAATTAATTGTTTTGTATTGCCTGTGGATGAATTCAAGTCAGTATATTGAAAATATATTCGTCTTGCTTTTTATTAGTTTATCAAGTAAACAGATATGAGAAAATTCTTTCGTAGCAATGGTTTATTTTTAATTTCGCGTAGAAGACGTTTATAGAACTACGATAAATGATTCAAGTGATAATCAATTGAAATTATGTCCCCTTTTGATATCACTCATTTGTTACAGATATTTCAGGTTAGTATGTTAATGTTGTTAATTAAAAGTTATGAACAAATTTAGACCTTTATAATGATAATACTAATCGCAATAGTATAATAAATTATTTGTATGATGTACATGATTTATTTTGTTATATATTATATTTATCTTTTATAATAATGTATAATTTTCTTATAACAGTAACGAATTATTAAATATCATAATTTTATTGAAGTGTATATAAATATATTGTATATACATATGTTTTTCTAGAATATACAATGCGAAGATGAACTGAATTTGCAACATAACCCAAACACAGGTATTCGTAATGGTAAGTGCAATATCTTTTAATTAAATAATCTGTAATGGTGTATACTGAACGCTTTTCTTACGTTTCAGGTGAAACTTTCAATTCAGAATTAAGGTCTCGAAGTCAAACAAAAATTCTGGGAACTGCTAGGGAAAGTGCAACTTATCGTAACGTTATTGACAATAATTTTGAGAGGAGGGTAAATTTCTGTAAAACTGTAATTGATGTATAACTGTAATTATAAAATTATAACAAAATATTAATTAAGTATATCTATCTTAGGAAAATAACAATAAAACAGAATCTAGAATTCCTGTACTCTATCCTCGCGACTATATACCAAAATCCACTGGGCATAGTTTCCTAATGGATAAATCTTCTAATTCAGAGATAATAAATGTTAATGTAAAGAGAAGATTAAGGGACACCACAGAGAACTCTGGAGAACGCGGCAGTACCCAACAAGACAACGTTAGGTATTATATTTTAATTATTGAGATTTACCTATCCATTCGAAGCTGATTTTATACAGGATAAACCGAAATAAAAATGAAGTACTTTATAATCAACATTGTTATTAATCAATATTATTATAATCAACATCAAAATGTGTGCATATCTATACTATAGCTTTGAATAGGTTATACTTTAGATAAAGAAATGAAATTCAAAACAATTATAAATGGTTAATAGAAGTTGTGGAACAATGTATCACCAAAGAAGAAGAAATCATCAAGAAAATAGTACGAGTATGCATTACGACAACTATCGGTTGATGAAGAATAATGCAGAAATAGATTCAAATGTACGTTCCTTTATTACATAGTATTCGAAGAAATATTAGTTACAAGTTATTTAACAATTATATTAAAATATTGATCTCATAAATGATTAAATAATAATTAAGTATAATTTAGAACTATAAAATAATTAAAAACTTTATTTATATTGCAGTATATGGAAGAAAACACAAATAAAAAATTTTCTGACAGTAGTATCAGGGCTTATCAAAAGTTTATGGAAAGAGATCGATATTCCAGGAAATCTGATGTCAAATCTAAATATACTCGTTCAAGTTCTATAGAAAGCCATCAAACAGCATTGCCAAGAAATATTAATCAACAGACATTTGTTATGCATAATATGTAAGTATAATATTTTTCGAATAGTATTAAATGGAGTATTTGAATTTACCCTAATTACATGCAAATTTATATTAATGAAAACTTAAATACTTCTTTTTTATTTTCTAGATACAATGCGCCGCCACATCGAGAAGGACGTTTTGTGGATGAAAATTCTTTTCAACCTTTGCAAACATCTTCCTCGTCAGCGTATACATATAATAAAATTGATTTTAATCGAACTGAAAATAACGATAAAAGTATGTCACGGGTAAGTATTAGAATTGGTATCGATATATTTAGTTATAAAATATGTATGAAATATTAGTGAATATTACAGGTAAGATCTCATCGTAAAACGAAAGATGTAGCTGCTCAAAAAATCAATGATGTTGAATTAATATCATCAGACGCTCAGACTAGTGAATATCTTCCTGCAATATATACTGAAACCCCGTATAGAAGAAGATTACGTTCTCTGTCTCCATCCCAATTATACCATCGTCAACAATTTGTAATAACAGCTTCTAATGAAGTTCATGCATTGTCCATGTATGATATGTAAGTAATACTTTTACTAATTTTTCTTTTTTAAACATATCTTGTACGTTTCAAATCGATATTCGTTGCAAAATCTTGATAATAAATTCTTGATAATAAAAGGAGTATCTATTCTATTAAGTGATGATAGTCGTAGGTTAATCGAAAGTAATTGTGGACAACTACAGCTAATCATAGCTAACCGCGAAGAATTGTGCGTAAACGCTTGTAACTGTGGTCAACCACAAGTAGTCCAAGTTTATCATTAGTAAGACCAACCGCAGACAGTTGTGGTTAACCACTTTTAATCGAAATAGGCAGTAATAGTTATAATTAGGTACAATTAATCAGATAATCATTGAAGATAATCATGAACAATTTCAGATCACTAGGTAGCTGTAAATAATGAGATAATTAGATAATAATTACATATATAATTATGTTCCCTAGTAGATTTGTAGCTATTTCTGCATAGTTAGGACTAATTACAGTTATTTAGGAGTTATATTAAGTAATAGTAATACTAATTTTATTAATTTTATTAATTTATTTTATTAATTTAAGTAATACAAATTTTATTAAATATAAGCTCAAATTATTAAATTCTAATGTTTAAGAACAATTTATTATAACATTTGCATTTTAAATATAAAATGAACTTTTGATACTAGTAGATGAACAGTGAATAATACCAGCAATAAAAAATAATTAGTGATATATGGAATTGATATAAACATTAAGTATTACATTCTAATAGATTTATTATAGATTCAATGAATAGTAATCATTCATTAAATAACAATCTTTGCATCTCAAATGAATATAAAGTCATTAAGATTGTAATCTTCACAATAGGACAAACTTCTACTAAACCTATCAGATCACAATTGTTTTAGTATTGATTATTTTGTATACTCGGCGCTTTTTTTCTTTATCTATACCATTATTAAAAGAAAGAATAGATAGTAATCATACAAAGTAAACTCGATAATCTGACTATAATGTCTCTGCAGATTTTGCCGTACCTCGGTTTACGATGCAATGTCATGGTGATGTTATCGGTGACCTCATATTTTCGACGATTTTCTAGTCACTTTCTTTGCTATTGCTCCCTGAGAAAATTACCATTCCTATACACTTATGCATGTCAACGTCCAATTGGTATTGTATCACTAGGAGTATTGTGCAACTTTTATAACTTTTTAACTGTACTTCTAGGAAGGCAACAAATACAGAGTTTCCGCAATTTTACAATCTAACTTCACAATATAGCATCAAAGTCTTAATACTATTTCTAAGAACGCGACAAATGACTTTTCAAGAGCAGAGTTTACATGGGCATTGAATTGGTGGTATCAGAATGAATCTATTCTATTTACTTGATCGATTTCATTTCATATTAAATTAAGCATGACTCAGAACTTTATTTTTATGACGCTATCTAGATTTTCTAGGTCAGTTATATTTGACTGAAAAGAAAAGATTACAAATTTTCAGAGTGGCGACATTCACAAACAACATTTTGATAAAAAATTTGTAATTTTTTAAAATTATTTGAGTGCGTAGAAAATTAGAAAATTTTAATTTTGAAAATTGATGACAATTTTAATCATTACGCCAATCGAATAATATCTATTATTTAATAAGTAATGATATATAGAAAAATACATTCTTCATCTCGTTTCTGCATAATCGTTTTACGAACATTCAATGAAGGTAAAATTACGATATATTTTGATTTAAATAACTCATAGGTAATGTTATCTACAGAGTAATTTAAACTCGTTAAGTAGAAATTTCCATAAATCATATTGCAATTTGGGTCTCTGATAACTGATAAGTTGAAAATATATTCACGTAGAAAGTGTTATACTGTTAGATTCAACAGATTAGCGTATACTACTGAATAATATAGATTTAATAGAATCATAATTTAAATTCTGAATAAAGTTTGTTACATGTTTGTACATTATGCAAATATTATCCTACATACTTAGTACTGTTGGACATAACTATAACATAATTATGAAATTAAAATTTATTAAAATAGTATTCTACGTAATATCAAATAATAATCGTCGTTTCTAAATGAAGAAATAATTATTAGAAAATTAAAATTACGAATCTCCGAATTAAACATTTTAGATCAATTAATCAATCAAACAAAACATTTTTGTATATGTTGATTCTTTTACCTTAACTAATAATAAAGATCATAATTAACACAAAATTTTTTATTTTCGTAATTAAAAAATTAATAAAATTATAAAAATAAAGAATAAAGTAAAAATACACAAGTAATACAAATAAAAGAGTTCAAAATTAGTAAATAATATATAAAAATAAGAATATATATCATAAATATGAAACAAGTAAAAATTAATTAAAATAGATACGTAAAAATTTGGCAAACAAAACCCAAAAATAATTAAAAAATAAACTATTAAATGTAATTAAGTAAAAAGACTAAATATACACGCTACATACAAAATAAACATTATTTAACAGAATAATTATTAATTGTAACATATAATACATTAACTTATTCATAAAACAACTAAATTATTGATAAATTAAGTTTATTCGATACCGAATTGAAAAAGTGAAAAAATAAGCAACAATATATCAGTGCTATAGAACACATACATATAAAGCTTTAGTCTATGGTAAGAGTTTTATCAAAAATTTATACAAGTTTACGATGAAGGAAATGTTGAATTATATAAGTTATAAATTCATGTACCATTTACCTGCTCCATTAATAATTCATTTACGTAATTGATATGATCTTAAATACTAAAACAAAAGACTGGAATAAAAGAATAAAAAAAGAGCAGTTATAAGAATATTTGATTTATAAGTTGCTTGATAATAATGAAACTAATAAAACAAAAAGAACAGTCAGAATTTATGATACCTGCTCATTTTTGCTTATAACGTCAAGTTTCCAGTCCGATGTCCAAGAGGGCTGAGGGGGGTTGGTCAGTGTATATCCATTCAATGTGGTGTCGTGGGGTTACAAGCGACGCAAGGAACTGACGGGGGGTTCGCGGCAAAGAGAGGGGGTAGCGGTCAGCGTCAGGACAGCCGACGTTTACGTGAGCACAGTCGTGCGTGCGTCGTTATTTGTCGCGTCGTTACATTTACGCTTCGCCCCCTCTTACAACTTTTTTCATTTTACAAAGAATTAGAAAATCGATTGACCAAGTGCGTAAAATTTTTTATCTTAATCCATTTACTAAAGTGCTTCAAAATCATTCAAAAATTAATTCTATGTAATTACGTGCTTAAGTGTGGTTTATCTTTAGCCTAATGTTTAATTGCGAACTTATATTATGATGATCGACCGATACGTGCGGCGATTATGGCGGTTTTAGATCTTCGAGTTCTATTTTATACTTTGTTTTTCTCTGACCATTTTTCAATTTTTGAAAAGATTTGTAGAATGACGATTGATATAAATAGAAGAAAATTTCCTAAAATGAAATATGAAGAATATTATCTTTCATAAATAACGCAATGAAATATGGTAATGGTAAAAATCTAGAAAAATTGAATTTGCTTCTTTATATTAAAAATTGAAAGTAAAACTATAATGGCTTTAAAAACACATTTCTGCAATATGCATTGATGCAAAAAATATTTGACCTAGGCCAGTTTTATAATAATTATAACATATATTTTCATTCATTTTGTGAAAATTATCGATCTTAAATTAAAAAAATTTCTACTATTCGTTTTATTCAATTTTATATCTATATAGACCATCAGATATAGTGCCTTTCATAACAGGTTGTTAATCGATCAATCGTGAACTTTAGAAAGATAAATGAAACAGAAATTCCAGAACATCGAGCTAGAAATTTAAATTGTATGTCGTGTAAACAAATAGTTCGAATCTTTTGTGTTAATTTTGTCAATTATGAATAAAATTTACATAATTTCTATAAAAGAAATTATTTTCTTATCATTATTTTCTGTGTTTCTTTTTGAGACGTAGATACAGACAAATATTATACATCGATTAGATTACATCGATTTAATATAATTTATAATTCATTTATGATACTATATTCATAGGAGATCAATAATATAATCTGTAAATACTTCTCAGTTCATAAATAAATTAGGAATCTTAGCTTAAAAATAATATTTCCACTTTCATAAGAATTTTTTAATAATTTGTAAACAGATAAAAATGATACTGTAATTGCAACAGTACTGTATAGCAATAGCATAATTTAAATTCATACATTAGTATAATACAGTAGAAAAAGCTGAAAAAATAATTACAAAATACAAACAAGAAAATTCGATTTCTAGAAAAGATTTAAAAAAGGTTATACATAATTATACAAATTATACGATAATTAAAAAAGTTTTTCTACCGTCACAAAATTTTAAACATTTGTGTAACACTAATCACTGTGTAAAATTAAAAAAAGAATGAAACATTATGCAAATTTTTTAATATTAGAAAGCTAACCTAAATTCCTACGATATTTTCCTATATAATCACATACCAAAAGTATATACGTTCGGTAAACTGTGTATAACCTAAAGCAATATAAGTGAATCTGTGAAAAATGAAGAATAAGATGAGCCTTGTGAAAATAGTGATATGGAAGGAATAACATCAATACACTGTGTGAACTGTACTATTAACATGACAAGGACTATTGATTGCAATCGATCGAAATGATTTTTAAGTACTGCACTTGGCCGGAAGAGGGCAAAGAAGCGGACAAGACTATAGCCTTGAAAAATGGAGAGCCAAATTCGATTGAAAAGGATCAGAATTACAACGAAGAACTTATTAATCCGCGCAGAAAGGAGTATAAAATTGCAAATACTGTTCTTCGTTACTGCCCCTGTGCTTTTCGGTGTAGGCAACCAGTGGATGTCGCAAGGGAAGAGGAAGATTCTATTTCGACCATTATCACCACTGTTAATACCACACCTGTGATTCCTTTAAGGTTGAATCCAAGCAGTGATACGATGTATGTTTCCAAATTTTGTGATATTTAAAATAATTGAAAATTTTTAATTCAACATATCAACTGATAAAATTATGCGACGAATGTCCACTTCAGACTATAACATAACCTGAAATATATAGTTTAAATATTAAAATATGAAAAATAATTTTAAATAGTTTAAACTTTTATATTCGAAACTTTATATTATTTCAGACTTCTAAATATGTTTAGAATAATTGTTTAAATCTAATTAAATATAACCATAAATAATTTTTTAATGCCTGGAATGTGTGAATTAATTTTAAAATTCGAAATATAATTGGAACTAATCTGAATTCGAAAGTTTGAAATGCAAAATGTTTCAAAATTACAGCTGAATTAAGTACGAAAGAAAAAAATTTGATATAACAAATATATCTTATTTTATTCATCGATAATAAAAAGTAAAAAATTCAAATTTTAGGGACTTGTTAAAGAGCAACCCGTTATACACCAATGGTTTTCGCAGAAGCTCAGTGAGGCTTTGAATTTTTAATCATGTTTTAAAATTTTAAAACATCATGATATAATGCAGATTAACAATAATTTGAATAAACAGATTTGAAATTGAAATTGTAGTATGTATAAATTTTGAAAACGGTAATAATATTTGGTATGTTTCTGTTTTATATTCTTATTTTTTTCCATTATGTTATCATCATATTTTTACCCATGTTTAACAAAGTATTAAATATTTTTTACAGTTATGAGATTATTTCCATAATTTTTTGGTTAAATACTACACACTAACATCTTTGATAAAAATAGTACAAGAAATAATAATACATATACTCAATAGTATTACATTATATCTTTTTATATTTCAAAATTACTAAATTATTTGTATGAATTATCATTGTGCAAATATTTGTATAAATATTTATCGTTGTAATCATTGTCAATTAATATATAATTCAGTTATCAAAATACATTATCAAACATGCACATATTTGTTATGAAACGGAAAAAAACTATTATATGTATAATCGGTTTTTTCTTTTTTTTGCTTTATAATAGTAAAACTTTTCATATAAACTATCGTGTAAAATTAAATAAAATTGTATGTCCCTTTCGTAAACAATACGAGCAGTTATCTGCAGTTTGCATTCTTGATATCCATTAAGATAATATTTTATACAAAAATTTGTTAGTATATTGTGGAAAGTATGTAATGTAAATTGTAAATATAACATAGAGATAATCTATACAATTTTTCTTTTATGTTCTCATTTTATGAAGAAGCAAGCAAGAGATTGTATATTTATTTCAATCTTTATTGAAATTTGTATTATTGAAATTTTTGTTCCAGAGACAAAGCAGTGAACGAAGAAGAGTATAATGAAAAAAATAAACATCATTTTCTACCAGACGATAATTTCGGAGAGAAAACAGATGCGATTGAAGCACAATATGAAGGTATTTATAAATAATTAATTAAGTTATAAATAATTTTGTCACAGCTTTTTAAAATATTTATTTCGATAATTACTTGATTTACACTACAAACTCTGTAATATATTAAAATTGGAACTGCAAAGATATAAAATGATTAATTCCAATGTCTCGTTAAATAATTTTTTACCGAACGTTATCTTCTAAAATTTAATACCAATATAATTAAATTTCTCTCCTTCTTTTATTATTCTTTTTAAATACAATAACTGTAAATTTCTTGCCAAAGAAATTCGTATTTTACAATAACTTTCAAAGTCTCAGAGAGAGAAAAATTTAGCTTTTTAAGTAAATAAAGAAGAAAAAGAAATGAAGAAATTTGCAAAAAAGAAAAGTATTGAAATACTGAAAAGAAAGATAATTAGAAAATTAAAATGTAAAAAAAAAGTTTTAATGAAAAATAAGCTAACAATATATAATTAGCATCTTGAAAATGTACATGTATATTTCATTCATGAAAAATCTAAGACTAATACTTTCTTGCAATGACACAAACGAATTACAATGCGAATTATGGATTAGAAAGATCGTTGAAACATTCGAACAAACTTTTAATGGTTAAAAGTGATATGAAATAACCTGTGGGACCTACTAGAACGATCGAAAGTCCATGAACTGGAACATGAGGTTCTTCACCTCGGATGAACGTGTAAAGCTTAGACCAGTATATAATCAATATTTTGCTCTTAACATTTAAACCGACTAAACCAACAATTTGTTAAAATAAAGGAGAAAAAGTATTTTAATTTGAAGCACATTTAGACTATTATTATAATTATGGAATAACAATCTAGTCGAAAATAACCACACGCAATTCATAATCTAGATCGAATTTATGATACGCTATCATTGTATATAGAAATGTTCAAATTATTCTTAGTAAATACCTCGTAAACTATAAATCTTAGTTTTTGTACTGTACTGAACCATACAATTTTGTTTATATTGTACTTTTTGTTTAACTTTGTATCGTGACTTCGTTCGTATAAGTATGGATATTAGTGTATCGATTTTGGCTAGTAGAAACTCTTACATACCGGAAATCTGATAAACGAACTGAGTTTAGGAATTTGTGGGACAATAATATCTGATAGGGTGAATAAAAATATTTAACTATAAAGGCAATTTTTTTATATCTAACTAAATATCCTAAATAAATCGTATATTTGTTTATTAGATAATAAAAATAATAATGAATTCACTTTATTTTGCCATTTTGATATTTTCTTTTTTTTTCAGAAAATACTTTGATAACGAATTATTTTCTTTTTATTTATTTGAATTTAATAATAACGTAATATTTAAATTCTGGAATTTATTATTAAAATCGATTACAACTCTATTTCAAGTGGAGGACCAAGAATTTTCATCGTCAGACGCGTTAGAAAATAACTATCAAGAAGATATTGAACGAGATGTGCAAGATACACAAGATGAAAGCGATTCCGAGTCATCTACTTCCGAAAGACAAAATGTGGACGCAGCATTTGATATTATCACTGGTCAATCGAGTCCTCCTCATCAAGATACGGTCGACTTTATTGTAAATATTTGCTCCAACGATATTTCACAAAAAATATTTTTCTTTGTAACTATAATAACGTTAAGGAATATTTTTTACTATCTAAAATAAAAATCAGCTATTTGCTTTTATTAATTAAGGAGATATAAAAAAAACTGTATCTCTAAATATTTCTTAATTTCATGAAGCAAATTCCACTACGTATAACTTCTTTATATATGAAGCATGAAAATTCAATGGAAATTTGAAAAACTTAAATGTACAAATTTCTATTTCAGATTTCATTGGATCCAAAAGGTGAAACTAGAATGGAAGTAACATCGATTGATGACGATGGATCCAAAAACTCGAGCAGTGAAGAAGAACTAAAGTCTCGACAACAAAGTCGTGCGGTATCCAGAAGCTCAGAATTTGTTGAATATCTCGAAGAAAATCAAAATGAAAGCGAATTCAGCACCTCTGACGAAAACGGAAGAACAAATGAAATGTCACACGTGCAAGAAAGGTCCGTTGTATCTGTTTTGGCTACTGAACGAGTGTTGACGGGCGAAAACTTACAAGCATCCAGTGATATTCTGCATTCGGATTTTCCAAATGCAGAAACTCCATTTTCAAGAGGGTCCACCAGTCCTAATAAATCTAATCAATCGCCAAGTAGAAGTTCTATTGACTTAGAGGCATCGAAATCGTCTAGATGTAATTCTCGAAGTAGCCCACATAAATTGGTTAGTTTACAAAATTACAAATGAAAATTATTCAGACAGTTCTGTTTTTTTAAATAGAAGAAATGAAAGAGTAGAAAATGATTTCGTACAATTTAATAAATACGATATTATAAAATGTGTTTTTTCATACATGGGTTTAATAAAATAGAATTTTGTTTATTTTATATTTCTTTACAGAGTTTTGAATTAGAAGACCAGGAATCGACTGATTCAAGCGAAGAAAAAACTGTTTCTCCCATTGTACATTATGATTCCATTCAGTCGGAAGAACCAAGTCAATCTCGCAGAGAATCGAAATCGGAAAGAGTCGCCAGCTATCATTATTGCTTCTAGACCTCATTCGTCCACTGAGGTTTCTAATTATGGTGAAAAACATTTAGAAACTACCATTCAAACAATAGAAAATGATAATACATCCAGAGTAAGTCACTACGACATAAATAAATACTTGAATGAGATTTTTTTATAGTTTTTATAAGCTCATTATGTTCTTCATCTTAATTCTTTTTTTTTTAGTTTGTTAATGAGCCTAATGGAGACATTAATGTGGAAGATGGACAAAGTAGAGATAGTTCTAGTGAAACGAACACAGAGCCAGGAATTTTAAAAATTGAGGTAATATTATAAATAGAGAAAAAGCTATTATTTTTAACATTTTATTCTTTATTCCGATTGTAATTAATACTCGTCATTTAAAAACGTTTCTTTATTTATTTTATCCAATATATGTTTTTAAATTTTGGAAATCTTATGAAAAATGTTTATGCATTGGACAATTCCTACATTTAGACTCAGACTGTGGAACCACTCACTGCAACCAAGCGAAAGCCTTCCAGAGTTCCTCGTGTCGCAGCAAGAGGTCGAAGCAAAGGAAATTCAGAAAAACCAGAAAAAACGAAACCGATAGTACAACAATGCTTTGCTCAATTAGAGAATAAAGACTGGTAAATCATTAAAATCGTTAAATGAAATTATTATAGTGTTATGGTCCTTAACAACATATTAAAACTTTACTATATGACGAATTGATTATAAATGCTGTATTTAATTTCTTATTTTTTCAGGGAAATTATTATGAAAGGGTTGAAATCATTGTCCCAGATTGCAAAGCAGCAACCGGAATACCTAGATGGTTACACCTCAGCAACGATAAGTCGACTATTAGGTCGTCAAATAAAAAGTCTTCGATCACAAGTAGCGCGAACTGCGTGCTTGGCTGCTGGTGACATTTTTAGTTCACAAATTCGTGGCATAGATCAGGTAAATTAACGTAACAATTCGCTTACAGTAATTTATATGCAATTTAATCATAACACTTAATTCTTATATTCAATAATAAAAATATATATTGTTAATAGGATTTTGATGACATAGCCGGGCCATTGCTCCACAGAACAGCAGATACTAATCGATTTCTTCGAGCAGACAGTAATGCAGCCTTAGATCGAATGGTAGAACATCTTCCACCACATAAAACAATTACTGTCATTGTACAACATGGTGCAAGGTAAATTAATTATTTTGAATGTAGAATTCACGTTTTCTTTTTATTTAATAACTGATAAATTGAAATTGATTAAACGATAAAAATTGTTTATATTGTTTATTTAGTCATCAAAATGCTATTGTAAGGGCTGCTACGGCTAGACTATTAGCTTCTATTGTCGATCGGATAGGATCGGAACATATTCTAATTTTGCCGAAGGACGTGAAGGATAAGTTACTTTCTACAGGTGCAAGATTATTGATGGATGGAAATTTGGACGCCAGGTAAAATATAAGTTATTTTGTTAATCATTCTGTGATTATACTAGAGCTATTTTGTAATTTTTTTATTTTGTTTAAAATCTTTCTTTTTAAAGCTATACCTTACTTTGTTGTACCAAAAAGTAAACCGTAATTAAAAATTTATCTATTAAACAAAAGAAATTCTTTTATCATCTTTTACTATCACTCATTTTAGTTAAATAAATATTATATGAACTTTTATAATAACATATCTTACTAAAATATAATATCAATGATCGCTACAATCTTCATTATGATCTCAAACAGAATTTTTTTGATAAAATTGATTTTAAATTTTCATATTCGATGAATATAATTAATGAATAATTTTGTACGTTATAATTTTATAGAAATCAAGCAAAAAGAATGTTCAGACTTCTTACACACTGTGAAGGATTTCGAAAAGCTTTAACAGACGCTGTACCAGAAACAACTTTGAGACACATCGATAAAACGTTAAAAACTCTTTAGTTAAACAATTCATCGTGTAATTTTACACGTCGCTTCGCCATCTGGATTTTGTCTATCCAACGAAATTGCTTCTTGCAAAAAGTAAAACTGAAGCTATTAAATCAAGTTTCAATGGCGTGTTCGATATGATCTTCGTGCACGAGGAAAAATTATAGAATCTCACGTAGGTTATGAAAGAAATGTTTTCACCTTACATATATTTTTTCCTCCATATACGAATACGTGTTTTTCTTCCCCGATATTTAATCGCACGAATTCAGCTATGGAAGAGAAGAGAAAGCATGATTGTTTTGCTAGTCGACTGATTTGAACATTTCAAACATTTTGATACTCTGATGTACATTCGTACATTTCCTTTTATACCATTGTGCTAACGTACTTAGAAAACAGAGAGAAACTTATTTGCATAATGTGGATTTTTAAGATCTTATTTGTAACTAAAGTAACTATCTATATTTAATGTCTTCTGATAAAATTTAGGAAGATTTTCAATATGTCAAATATCCTAAATTTAATGGATGATTTTTTAATACAATTCTTTGCTTTAGAAAAATTTCAAATTAACTAAATAGCTAGATAAATTTCAAACATATGATATCCATATTATGCAAATAATCCATGCTCAATTATAAAATGTAAACAGAGCTATGGCGGAAAAAGAAACATAATAAAATTATTTAAAATAATCTTTAAATAATCATTTTAAACGTGGAAAAATTTAATATTACTATAATTTTAATCTGAATATTTTATTGGTTAATTCATATTTGAATAATTTCATCATAGTAATAAATTTGTTCCAGTCAGACAAAGTTTGCTTTCAGTAATACTTGTATTTAAAATGTTGTACCTTAGGAAACCAAAAACCTTTGTTATAATTATGAAAGATTTATATAGAATTCTGTTAATTAAATTTACATTCAGGCGAATGTAATGTAACAATAATTTACAAAAATCGTAATGCTCAATCTATTAACTAAATTAAATATAATTCAAAGTAATTATTATCTTGTAAAAGTAGTATTTATTGGAAGTTTTAATGCTTAAAATTTTATCGGTTCAATTAAAGGTTCAGATAATATGTACCAGTTTGCAATATATAAAATTTACAATTGTTCAGTAGGTATTGAATACGAATTTTAAAAATACAGAAGAAATTAAATGAGTTATAAAATAAAAAAAAAGATTTATTTTTAAATCCCGGATATTTACATATATCTTTAATCAAACAAACGCTTGTCAAACATACGCAACTGTTAATAAAATAAAATGTGATACGCGTGAAGTAACATTATTAAGTTTTACCAAAGATTAGTTGTAAATGCCATAACTTTAAAAAGAAAAGTTTGTAATTCTTAGGAATTTAAGAAAGCTTCGCTTTCCTTTACTTCACCAACTCTTCTACAAGGAGTTGCAGGAAGAAAATTATGAATAAATTTCATTACAGAAAGGAATACATTGCTGGTGGCAATGATTCCATTTCAAATACCACGAAATTCACTGTAATTTATCCAAAGAACAATATTATAAATATTAATTACATCAAACAAATAAAATATATCAATTTATATCATAATAAAAAGTATTATATTATGTTAAGAATTATAATAAAAATTTTACAATAATTATAAAAATATCTATTATTCATTTTGAAATATTCTAAAATTTTGTTACTTAGATATTTGTTCAAATTTGATATCAAATTATCGTATCACCAAAATATCAAACTTCTGTTTTTATTTATTCAATATACGATATACTTTTAGATCTTATTGTCTAGGTATATCACTTATTTATTTTTATAGTTACTGAAGAACTTTTAAATTATTGTATAATTTCGTATGTACATATATATTACGAATAAACATACATAATAATAAAAATCAATATTATACTCCCATTCATTTTTAAATTTACGTAAATTTGATGAAGCATATTTCTTTTTTGTTTATAAAACAGCTGAAACATTGAATCAAAGTGAGTTTCACACTGATGATTAAAATATAAAATTTACAAAAACAATATTTCCAGAAATGGAGGAATGGAAAAAATGGCAAAATTCGATAAATGAGAAAAGTATTGAAATAATTGTACATTCCATCGAAAATGTTGTAAGTTTTATCACAAAATATATTTTTGTAGAACGTCTGTTGTTAATCACAACAGAAGAGAAGAAGGAATGAAGAAACGAATAATGTGAATTTAAAATTAAGGAAAATAATCTATTAACATTTCAATTTATAACTATATTCATAGCTATATAAAATAATTACTTTTCTACCTAAAAAGAATAATCTTTTATAATTTGATTGAGGATATTAACACATGGGGATGTAACACATACATTATTTGAAAATTTAGATAAAAAAGGAGGATATAAACGTATTGTTCACAGTGGAACACAATGGCATTGTATTGGGAGAAAGTAATCCAACATTAATTAAACCAAATTTTGATGAAGAATTATCGATTCACATTATTGAATTGGTTGTTAAATTGCCAGTTATATTGAAGAACAAAGAGAGTCTTAATTCAATTGTATCAATACCTATACTAAGTAAAAATCAATTTATATCAGTATCTTTTAATATTGCAATATGATTATAGTAAACTTACAATTATAATAACATGATCTACTATAGTAAAAGCAACACAAATTATCGAAATTGAGGAAATACAGACCACAACTTCAAATGAAATTAAGAAGAAATCGATATTTAGTACAAAATCTGTAACACCTCTCACATCGAAGTTACTGGGGATTTGTAATCTTGATTTAATGCCAATAATATTAGGTAATTAAAATAATTTATTATAACCTTACCAGATCCACAACTTTCTAAACTATTATAATTTATAAACTATAAATTACTTTTTCCCATATTCTAGGAATATTTATTTTACTGTTGATTCCTTTGTCATTAAATATTTGAAAATTTTTATTTCGAAATTTCAAAATCTCAAAATTGCAAAATTTTCGTATGTAAAAATATCTCATATTCAATAATCTAACAATCAAGCAATTTAGCAACTTGAAAATTTCAAGATTAAAACATTCCAGGAGAAAAAAGTTTTACTGAGAAGATAATTTTAGAAACTCCTAACTTTTCCTTCGATGATACATTAGTTTCGTGGCAAAATCTTCCTCGTTTGACGGTAACAGTTTTGCAAGATCATACACCGTTCTTTCAACCAAATGAAACAGTGAACTTTCTCAGTGTAACTATCGAAAGTATATACAACATTCCAAGAACTTTCACTGAGGATTCTCAATATAAAGCTGGCACAATAGCATATATCGATAATGAGGTATTTTCATACTAACTGAGTATTCGTTCAAGTAATTTATTCTTATTATGAATATTTAGTATATGCATTAAATGGGCGAACCTGTTTTGATTTTAACATATACGATTGAAATAAAACATTAATTTTATAACAAATTCAAACGGAGAACCAACAATTTAAAACACTGAAAATGCAAATATATATTTACTATTTATTACATTTTTTTAATTTAGTAGAGCTAAAAGGATTAATTGATAACCTATAAAAATTATTATTCCGCATTAGGTTTCTGAAAGTATCATTTTCAACCATGGTATTTGGACGAAATATCGAGATATCGAAAGAACGAAACGATGGAACAGTTTACGCCATATTCAAAATCGATCTCAATTATCGAAATACAAATTGAACTGCGATTTTATGGGAGTGAGAAATGAATTTAAGGAACAGTTCGATTTAACGGTATTTAAAAATGAAAATTACATAATTCCAAAAAATATTAGTTGGATTATTTATTGATGATTGTTACTATTGGCTTTCTAGACTAAAACGTGTGATGATATGCCACGAATAGAATGGAATTCCTTAAATCGATGTATATTATGGAGTGGTGGAATCGAAGCAATGCGAGATCATATCAGGAAGTATAAATACTTTAATATTTCTTACAATTGTAATTTTAATAGATTATAATTTTAGAAGTAATACTAGATAAAAATTAACCTTATATTTTATAATTACGTTTTACAATAGTAGATGTTTAATTGGACTTTACAAAATAATTTTTATCATAATATCTATGTACATTAAAAGATATTAATCATAAGTAACTGTTCTAAAGACATAAATTTTGGCCTTTCCAATTTGAAATAACGGAAAAAGCTTCGCCAACAAAATTCAAAGGCGGTTTATCATCTGCAATGCAATTGTATCAGTGTTATGTCGATGTTTCGGAACTTCTCTTTCCAGGAAGTAAATTCCACTATTTTTGCAATATATAAACACTTTATTATAAACTTTTTACGTATGGAAAATTTTTTATGCAGGAAGACATTGTCGAATTGTGGGACAATTGTATAAATACAATCCGCAAGACGTATCCGAAAAAGTGGGTCTCGAAGAAAATATCTTTGTGTCGGAGTCACAACGCAAAGAAGCAAAAGAAAGAGATAAAAAAAATAAAACATCAAAGGTAAAATGTATAAGGTTATTATAAATATGTATTGAAATAAATCATGGATCTTTCTTCAGTAAAAATATAAAATAACAATAAATAAATATTTTTACTAGTATTTTGTTTGCTAAACGCAAACAATTATGCATGTATGCATAATATTTCATATGTAAAAAGATCAGATATGTCCTACTGTAGTATTAAAGAAAACTAGCTATATCAAATAATTTATACAAATTTCAACTTTTTATACACTAAATTTGAACAATTTTAATGCTTGACTAACAATAACAAATCCATATTTAAATCTTAATACTAATATCTAAAATGAAATCTTAATCAGTCTTAACATTTCAAACTAAAATTGTTACTTTGATATAAACACAATTTTTCCTAGTACTATCAAATATAATATAAATATTATATTAAACTATAATTATATGAAACTGTATAATATCATACTACATTATTCATTTTATTAATCAATTAAATTAGTTTCTAATAGAAAATAAAATTGAGAATGTATATTTAAATTTTAGAATGCTCAATCGATTATATCTGAAGTTGAAACAACACAAAATATAGCAATAACTACAGAAGATGGAGAGCCTACAATCATAATAATCGAAATAGAGCTCTATGTACCTCTCGTTATTTGCAGGATCGAAGAAGATTTTGCAAGTTTGTAAGTCTTATAATTCTATTAATTTTCATCCTATTCTATGAAACTTCTTAGAAACTAAACGTTTTCTGACATCAAAAAGAACTTTAGTAAATCCTTATCTATAATTGTTTTAGGATAACTAGTATGATACCTAAAACGGAAAAGAAACAACGTTATGTGTACTCTAGTGACGTAGCGGAAGCACAATATATACATTGTATTCAAAAATTAGCGGAAATTTTGACAGAAAGTTATCGAGTATGAAAATAATTGGTTATGATAAAAATTTTCTATTGACTATTATTGCTTTTTTAAGAGTAAATTATGTCACATGTTATGACATATGAACCATCTAACAACCTTCAAACATAGTTAATCATTGTGAATGTTTTATAATTACTGAATTTTTCATATTTTCTTAAGCTAGGATTTTTGTGGCGAAAATAAGGAAAGGAATAATAAAGAGGCAAAGCAACAAGGAAAATATTGCTTTGATCCAGAATCGGTAATATGTTAAATTTTTTTTAAATAACTCAGTAACTAATGTTATATAAAATAATTTCAAAACCTATATAAACATGAAAAAAAAAAATAATTTTCAAAATATCATGATTACTTTATATGAATGCGTGTTGTATAAAAATTACTGAATTATTTTGTATAAATAATTCAAGTGAAAACATATTCGGCGATATTAAACAAAATGTTTTTAAATATTTCAGGATGAGTTAACATGCTTTACACAATATCTTTATAAAACTGGAGTATATTTATTTACACGTAATACCCTAAGAATGAAAATTCCCATGTTGATAGATCAAAAATTTAAGATGCCCAGAAATTTAATAGATTCTAAGGAATCTCATGTATATACATTTTTCATATCTTTCTCTTTTCAATAAATGTTGTCGATATATATAAGATTCTTACAAAAATTGTAAGAGGTATAATTTATTTTAAAACAGATATATTCGAAACATTACACACTTTATATCGCACCTTAAGAATAATATTTTTTCGAAAAATAATATCGTTTGAAAATTATATAATATTAAATCATATGAAATACACGTATACAATTATCATTATTACATTGAGAAATTTTGTATTACTTTTCACAGAATTTTATCGCCTCTATATACACATATTTAGTAGAACAAATGCACCTTGCTATAAACAAGATGGTCGAAAGTCAATTTACAGAGGATTTGGAAAATAACATGGACGTGAAGATGATATACTTCTATGCCGAAGAAGCTTACGAATTTGAAGATTTGGATACTGCTAAACAGTATTATACAAAAGTATGTAAATTTACTAAAGTAAATATATAATAAATCTAATAAATAACTAAATTCAACTGTACTGTGTAATTCATGTGTTGGAACAAAATATTTGAAACTCTTTTCATAGATAACATATTTTTTATTTTTTTTTAGATTTTGTTATTTTCGTAAGTAATACTTCTTAACTTTTCTTACATTTAATTACTTTCTTTAGGTAATAGCTGCGAATAAAACTGATCCATATTCTTGGACACAATATGCAATTTTCCTCAAGAAAATAGGTGATATAGAACGTGCAAAAGAATGCTGTTTAGAAGCAATCATTTTAAATCGACAATATGCAATTGCGTATGTAAACCATCAATCATTTTAGAATATTCTACATTTACACTATTTTAGTAATTATTAAGCGTTGAATTGTAAATTATAATGATTTTAGATTGTTAGTGTATGCAATGATTTTATTTGAGAACAAAGAATACAAAGAGACCGAGATTTTTCTGAGAGCCATTACAGACTTACATCCACGGTTCGCTGAAGGCTGGGCCATTTTACATTTGTTCTTTATACGAACGGAATATTATCCAGGTATAGAAATTATTTAATGTAAATGAACAAATAACAACCCAAATAAATAAATAAATAAGAAAATGTTAAATGAAGAAATATGTAATATTATTTAATATATTTATTGCCGTAGGAATAGATCTTACGTTTCGTATAACAAAAAAATGTATGGAAGATAAATCTCGCACAATATCACTCGATCAACAACCACTTTCTTGGACTACGGTTCACTGTCCCCAAGGAAATATATACATGATGGCTACAATGTTTTTATTAAAACTACACTTTTGTGAGGTAAAATATTTACAAATATTTTTAATATGGATTATTCAAATATTTAAAAATTTCAATATTTCTAGAAATTTTTTTATCATTAAATTGATTAAAGTAAAATAATACATTAATTAAAGACTTGAATAATTTGAATTTACTTTCATTTTGTAAAATTTATACCATATATATATAATTTAAAGATGCATGTAATTTTGTATTATCTTCACAAGTTATATGAAAATATATCATAACTTTCAACAAACTTATTATTTTAATTGTACATAATTCTATTATTAAAATTTAGTATAATTTAATATAATAAAATTTAGTATATATTATTTTATTATTGTGAAGACTACAAAATAAAATAAGGAAATAAGATAAAAAACAATAATTTACATTTGAGTGTATCTTTAGAAATATCATAGACTAAACGGTTTCAGTTTGCTGGACTTGCGTTAGCAGAGGAAATATCAAATTCTAATCGATCTGTTCACTTTCTGTATTATATGGCAGTTGAACATTATTTATCTGGCAGATACGAAGATGCATTATCTCATCTGGAGGAAGTTCGTTGCAATTACGGAATGGTTTATATTTTTCAAATTATTAAATACGAAGATTAAAATACAATAACATATACAGTATATTTTATAACTAACTAAATACATAAACGAGACAATTTTATATGAATCAAAAAATACTTTGAAAATACAGAAAGAGATTTATACATTTTGAAGCTTTTTAAATTTTTAACTCTTTAAATTTTCTCATAAATCATTGAACTTTATCTTGGGGCTTAGAATTTTGTTATTTGGGAACTCCATTTCTATTTGGGCCAATGATTATGGAATATTCTGTATAAATTAAATTATTTATTAAATAATTATGGATGAAGTATAATTCTGATAATGTTAAAAAATTGTTCAATTATTTTCAATTTATCTACAGGATTATTCAATCAGTAGTTTAATGGGCCATTGTTACTTCAAACTAGGGGACGTTGAGAAAGAAGTAGAATCCTACGAATTTGCGCGTATGCTTTTTGATAGACCTGATAATTTACATTTAGTAGAACTTAGGTAATAAATAAACTCGTACAATAAATTTTAAATAATAATTATTAATTACTTTATTCAAATCTTATTTAGCTAATAAAAATAAGAATATACGTATATCTGATTTTTTCTACGTTCTGAATTCAGTGTTTTTAACTAATGTCAAGATTATAAAACAAATATAATTTCAGATTAGGATATCATTATTATAATACTGGTAACTTTGATCGAGCAAAAAAAATTTTTCTGAGTGCGTGCAAATCTTCACCAACATCCTTAGCTTGGCTAGGAGTGGGTATAAGTTGTTACGAGGTAAATAAAAAGTATTTTGGTATCATTCTAGGTATGAGCATAAGTACATGATAAATTTCAGTTATCAATAAAACTGTTATATGCCATCAAAGTTTATAATTCTTTTTTCGACATATATTTCATTTTAGTTAAACCAACTTCATGAAGCAGAAATCTCTTTATCAGAAGCTAATAGAATTAACAATCACAATCCCGTAGTATGGGGTTATTTATGTCTTTTAAATATGACGCTGGAAAGATACGACGAGTTTGCGCAATGTTATGCACAAATGATCAAAGTAAGTTTGTATTTTGGAATATTCTTTTAAGCTTATTAAAACATAATAATATTTTGTTTTGCATAAAATATAACTTCATAAATAAACTTCAACTATTTATAAAGATAATTCACTGTTCTTTACACGAATAGAAGTTTTAATAAAATTGTTTCATCTGTTCAATTTTCGAAAATTTCAGTAATCTAATATTTTTAGAAAATAAAATAAATAGAGAATATAGTTTACAATTAAAATCTGAAATGATTATTACCAATATATAAAAACTTAATTAATAAAATAATAAGAATTCAAAAATACATATTGTGAAAATCAGATCATTATAACCAAAATCCATTTTTATTTTCATGAATTTCTATCAATAGGTAATATTTCACATGATAAAAGGCAAATAGACAACAAGATTTCACTAACAACTTTTATTGTTCATTTTTTTTTTTTTTTTTTTTTTTTTTTAATTTCAGCACCACCAAATTTAACAGAAACCAACAATTATGACGAGAATTACAGCAGAAAGGGATCTGAGGAATAATTCGAAAATTAATGGCACCTGAATAAGATAAATATGAACGCTCAAATTTGTAAAAGAAGAAATCGCAATGGCACTTACTTTTAAGCGATGTAAATGATATAATCAAAAAAACAACGAAATGAAATGAAAAAAATAGAAACAGAATTTATATGAAATATTTACTGAAATTATTCAATCAACGAGTTTAATAATTAAGTAATTTTGTCAGATATACTTTAAAAAATTTTAATTTTATTATTTTTCTATCCATTGAAAATTCATACATTCCAATTTGTTTGAAATATGTTAATCACAAATAAACATTAATATTCACATTTCCTATTTAATCAACTATTTTGAAGATAAACAGTTAAAAATTATTTTCCTGTTTGCATAATTAGAAATTTGAATTCATTTATTTTTTTTTTTCTTCATTAAATATTTAGCGGTGCATCTTTCAACCAATTGTTAATATCTCATCTCATAAATGAAAAATAAAACATAAAGCAAGCATTTAACAAAATATTATATAATAATAAAAAAAGAAACGTGCAATAAATAATCTTTTAGTAAAAGGATGCAAATAAATTATATAAACTATAAAGTAACGTAACATTATTTTTTGACTAAAATCAAATAAATATATTCTATCGTTTAATGTTATAATATTTAGAATATTATAAGCAATTGCTTTATTTTTCCTTCTTTTTTTTTGTTTTAAACCAACAGTTCTCGAAATATTAAAGTATCAACTTTTTTCCGTATACATATATATATGATATACATATACATACATACATACATACATACATACATACATACATACATACATACATACATACATACATA